GGAAACCTTCAAGCAACACCACCCCCCCTCCTAATGGGTTGGGGCCCCCCCCCCCCCCTTATGGGCCCTATGAACATGAATTTGTTAAGAAATGATCATTGTTTTCTTGGGGCTAGGTCTTTTTTTTCTTCCTTGTGCTCACTAGCAAACCTGACCCCAGAGGGTTTGTTGTGCTTTTTCAGCAACATACTAGTTATATTTCAGCTAAATTGCCTGTAGATACTTTCTCTCTGTCTCCTAACTCTTACTGTTCAGGCAGACAGTGGAGATGGGTACCACTACCACAAGCTGAGGAAGAGTGTCATTCGAGAGCAAGTGAAGATTCTTATCCAGAAGTCATTAAATACTGAAGAGCTTCATCTCAAAAGGCATTTGAATTGTTTCATAAGAACACTGAAGAGGAGAGAAAACATTGAAGAGAAGGGAGGACAGTAAGGTTACAAAATTAAATATTTTTTGTATGAGCACAATTGTCTCTTTCCCATTTATTTTTCCTGTTTCTCTTTGCATATCTCCAACACCCTGGAATGATAAAATGAGACAACAGGGTATGGATTGAACTAGGGTTTTATTAATGTCTAATCTTCAGCAGCTACTTAAAATTGTACTTGTTTTAGAAGTGTGAGTTACTATCTAACCCTGCAGCCCCTGCTGGCTGCACACATTTGGGCAACCCCAACAAGGACAGGCTGAAGAGCCTGGAACTTCTTAGGTTAAGGGGGGGAAAGACAACTAAGGTGGAACATGATGTTGGTGGTAGAAAGTACCATCAAGTTGCAGCGAACTTATGGCAACCCTGTAGGGTTTATAAAGCAAGAGATGTTCAGAGGTAGTTTAACATTGTCTGCTTTTGCATTGTAACACTGGACTTCCTTGGTGGTCTCCCATCCAAGTACAAACCATGGATGACCCTGCTTAGCTTTTGGGATCTGACAAGTAAGGGATAGTATGGACATGACAGAGGTTTATAAATTTATGTGTGGGATGGAGGAAGTGAATACAGAGAATTTTTTCTTACTTTCTCACAATACCTAAACTTGTGGCCACCCAATGAAATGGATCTCTAAAAGATTCAGGATGGCAGAGTGGACATAAGGAAATATTTTCCTACTCATTAATAGGGATGGGCACAAGCTGCATTTTTGCAGTTTGGTTCATGGTTGAATCATGAACCAAACCATGAAACTATATGGATGAGGAGGTTGGTTCGCAAACGGAACTGATTTGTGACCCCTGCTTTCTGCTCCCTGCTGCTATTCATGGAGAGGAGAAACAGGGGTTTAAATAGTTAGGAGCCATTTAAACCAATGCTTTTTCTCACCCCCCCCCCCAGAAAGATGAAAGCACCCTTAAACAGCTGAGCACCTGAAAGAAAGAAAATTCCTTTAAACAGCTGAGCCACATGGAGCAAAACTGTTCCACGGGGCTCAGCTGTTTAAAAGGGCCTTCTTAGACAGAGAGCCCCAGGGACTGGCTACTCAGTTTCTTCTTCTTACAATACAAGGTCAGCAGTCAAGAATATCATCAATACATAATACCCATTGAATGCATAAAATAGATATTCTGTACAGAAATTGTACAATTAATAGAAATAATAACATTATTAAAATACTAGGCCATGTTCTTCTGCCTTGTTGAGCATGCCAGAGCACAGAATCTTGCTACCTTAAGGGTAGTTTCATTAAAACGGTCAGCAAGAAGAAGAGAAGTATAAAAATCATTTGATCTACCTGGATGTTTGGACAGAGCTGGGGTAATTATGTGTTCTGAATGTCCTAGTAAAATTGGCAATGTAAGAGGATATGTTCAATTGTTTCTACCATTCCAGACTGACATGGGCAGAGATGTTGTGCATATGGGATACATGCATATCTCCCTTCAGATAGGAGGACGTTAAAATGGGCCAGAGTGAAAGCTCTGCAGTGTTTGGGAAATTCTAAGTGTAGAGGATCTAAAGAGTCTCTTGCTAAGAGTGAAAGAGGAGAGCGCAAAAGTTGGCTTCAAACTCAACATCAGAAAAACTAAGATCATGGCATCTGGCCCCATCACTCCTTGGTAAATAGAAAGGGAAGTCATGGAAGCAGTGATAGAATTCATGTTCTTGGGATCCAAGATCACTGCAGACGATGACTGCAGCCATGAAATTAAAGGATGCCTGCTCCTTGGGAGGAAAGCTATGGCAAACCTTGACAGCATAATAAAAAGTAGAGACATCATCCTGCCAACAAAAGTCCACATAGACAAAGCGATGGTATTCCCAGTAGTCATGTATGGCTGCGAGAGTTGGACCATAAGGAAGGCCAAGTGCCAAAGAATAGATGCTTTCAAATTATGGTGCTGGAGAAGACTCTTGAGAGTCCCTTGGACTGCAAGGAGATCAAATCAGTCAATCCTAAAAGAAATCAACCCTGACTGTTCCCTGGAAGGCCAGATACTGAAGCTGAAGCTCAAACACTTTGGCCACCAAATGAGAAGGGAGCACTCACTGGAGAAGACCCTGATATTGGGAAAGATTTAAGGTAAAAGAAGAAGGGGACAGCAAAGGATGAGATGGTTAGACAGTGTTATTGATGAAACAAATATAAAATTAAGCAAACTCCGGAGGATAGCGGAAGACAGGAGGGCCTGGCGTGGTGTGGTCCATGGCGTTGCAAAGAGTCAGACTCAACTGTGTGACTGAACAACAAAATGTATAAAGGTAATTTGATGGAATGAATTTTTTGTTACAGTTCCCAGCTGCCAGAGAAGAGTGAGCCCATGATCTGTCGACCTGAAGGGTGGTGTCCCATAGTCTCTGTTTGATTAGTCCTCTGGCTCCTGAGTACCCAAGATGCAGTAAGGCTGTGCAGAAGAAACCAAATAGTTGCAATTTGTTCTCTATGGCTCTCCACCCACCTTGAGTGAAAACTGTCTAAGAGGATTAGTGAAATTAATCTGGGGGGGGGGGGAGAGATTTAACTTGAGCCAGCAGCATATAACTTGGAACCAGGCGCATACTTCAAGTGGAACCAACCCTGCTTCTACCCTAAGCAGGACATTAGGTACACAACAAGGTACTCCAGATAGGGATCTGAGGAATGTGGATTGGATTGCTTTTAGTTTACGGTAGTCATTGTACAGACATGTCTGTGAACCATACATGAGCTGGGTACCATCTTGCCCTGAAAGACTTTCAATGTAAATGGTATGTAAATGGGAGGGGAAGGGAAAGGAGTTTGTAAGCCGCTCTGAGGCTCCAAGTGAAGGGCGGGGTATAAATCCAATCTCTTCTCTTCTTCTTCTTCTTATGTGAGAACCCCCTTTTGTGAAGAATCTTGAAGCTGCTCTAGCCGCTCTTTGGGCAGACTCGGTTGCATGGGAAAGCTGAGCTTTCCATGCTCTAGATGGTTGGAACACTACAACTAAATATCTGAACACTTTAACTTGCTCGATCTCATGGCCGTCAATCTGCCACCTGTGTTTGATAAACCTTTTAGGAAAAACCCAAGATTTCTGGTCTTTAAAAGACTGATAGTTAAATGCTCCTCCTTGCAGTAAGCCGTAAGTGCCTGAGAGGCATTTTTGAGCCCTACTTCAGAGTAGAATAGAATACCAATATTGTCTGCATATAATAGTATGGAGATTGTTCTATTTGCCATATTGGGTGGATGGAGGTCAGGCTTGGATAAGGTTTGCACCATAGAATTTATATAGAAGTTAAATAATAAGGGGCAAGGATGCATCCTTGCCTCAAACCCCTCCTGACTGGAGCCATGTGAGACAGATGACCTTGTGGGTTGCATCTCACTGACAAATAGTTGTTTTCATATAATGTGCATATAAGGGCAAGCAATCTATGGTCTATTGTGGAAGCTTCTAGTTTTTGTCATAATCTGTTGCGTAAGGTACTATTGAATGTCCTCTTATAATCAACAAAGGCTTATAATCAACCAACACATAAAGTGCCCCATGTGGCCTGGAGGTATATTTCTCCACCAGATGATGCAGAATCAGGCACTGATCCATTGTGACTCAACCACTTCTGAAAGCTGCTTGTTCTTCAGCTAAGATGTTTTCTCTGTTGAGGATTGGCTACCCAACAAAGCCCATTTAAACAGTTGAGCTTCAGGAGCAGGTGTTGGAAATGTATGTGTTTACAAGGTCTGATTCAGTCATTATAGGGTTAACTTGTATTCCTAGTTTGCTATTGTTTAGACTGACCTGGAAGGGATACCTGGCACTAAGCCAATGGGGGATTTGCCCGGGAAAAGTAACTTCTATTTTGATGCAGATTGGTCATTTGTTCCAGGTGACTTCCTTTCTAGGGGTCAAGAAGAAGGAGGAAATCTCCATTACGTGTGTGCTTGTCTTCAGTATAGGAAGCTTAGAAATGTAGCTCTTAGTGTTTTGTTAATTTGTAGCAATCCCGTGTACCTTTTCCCTTAGAATAAAGTATTTTTAAAAAGCAAAGAAATCTCTTCTTTCCAATAGAGCAAGATCCATCAAATAGTCTGAGTACTAAACAATTTTTTGACTATTTACAACAAATTGGTAGCAGAGGATGGTTTAAATGCTCATTGGATAGAGAGAGAGAGAGAGCTGAGCCAGCACATAGAGGCTTATTTTAAAAGTGAACTAACTTTTTCCTGCAAAGTTTTTTTTCTACTTTTTGCCAGACAAAGCTGTGACCAGAAAAAGTGTGAGCACTTTTGATTCTTGCTGATTAAAGGGATCATCGCTTTAATGCTGGTTTGCACTTTGGAAAGCAGCTGAAAGAAAGCTTTTTGAATTTTTTTTCTACTGGGCGCCGGAGCTCCGGAGAGCTGATTGCTTCACCGGTCCCAGCTGAAAAGCCTAAGGAAAGGATTAACCCTGTCTGCCTGAAGATGAGTGAGGAAGAACCTTCCACATCTAAAGCTGGAAACCCAACTGCACCTAAACAAGCACCAGCCAAACTTGTGAGTACGTTCCATTCTTCTGGGGACACAGAAGCCCTTAAATTAAAACCCCAAAATTATCTTTGGTGGGAAGCGGTTCTTAAAGTGAAGCTTCAGATGCAAAGAGCCCAGCATGTCTTAACAATGGAGCCCCCAGCTAATGAGCCAGAGAAAGGTGATTTTGAACAACTGGATGGCTATGCTAAAAATCTTATTCTTGGGTCTGTGAATCCTGATGATGAGCCAGATTTATACACTGTGGGTACATCAAAGGAAATGGTTGCATATTTGAAAAAGAGATATGCAGGAAGAACTACAAGTAAAATTTTGAATATGATTGGTACAAATGTTGAATTGAATAATTAATAATGTTTTTGTGTGTATGACTTACATGTCAGACCTTGAGAAGGGGTGTTTGAAATGTATGTGTTTACAAGGTCTGATTCAGTCATTATAGGGTTAACTTGTATTCCTAGTTTGCTATTGTTTAGACTGACCTGGAAGGGATACCTGGCACTAAGCCAATGGGGGATTTGCCCGGGAAAAGTAACTTCTATTTTGATGCAGATTGGTCATTTGTTCCAGGTGACTTCCTTTCTAGGGGTCAAGAAGAAGGAGGAAATCTCCATTACGTGTGTGCTTGTCTTCAGTATAGGAAGCTTAGAAATGTAGCTCTTAGTGTTTTGTTAATTTGTAGCAATCCCGTGTACCTTTTCCCTTAGAATAAAGTATTTTTAAAAAGCAAAGAAATCTCTTCTTTCCAATAGAGCAAGATCCATCAAATAGTCTGAGTATTAAACAATTTTTTGACTATTTACAACAGCAGGTTCAGCTGTTTCTGATCTAAACAGCTGAGCACCTGGGAGCAGCTTGCTCCCATGGCTCAGCCATTTTGGCAGCTTTTGTGGGGAACCTCCACAAACTGCCGTAAAAATTTATGGAGGTTTGTTGCTGGGTTGAAGTTTGTGAACCACGAGCCAGCCAAAATTCACGAACTGGCCAAGATTCAGTTCACAAACCACAAACTGACCAAAATTTGTCACAAACAAAGGTTTGTGAACTGGTTCATGCCCATCCGTACTCATTAAAAAACTAGAATGTGTCCACTCTAGAGCCAGTGGATGTAGCCATGAGGACAGGTGGCTTTAAAGGAAGATTATACATATTGAACTCATGAGACTGTCTTATACTGAATCAGACCCTTTTCCCTAATCCCTACAAAGTCAATATTGTCTGTTCAGACTGGCAGTGGCTCTCCAGCATCTCAGGAAGAGGTCTTTCACGTCACCAACTGCCAGATTGTTTAACTGGAGATACTGTGGATTGAACCTGGAAACTTGTGCATGCCAAGTAGATGCTCTGCCACTGAGATTCATGGAGGATATGCCCATCAAAGGCCATGGTGGCTAAAGGAAATCTCCATATTCAAAGGCAGTAGATCTCTGAACAATAATACTAGGAGGCAACATTATTATTTATTCATTTACAAAATTTATATCTCACCTTTCTGCCTTCATCAGGGCCACCAAGTTGGCTAACAGATTAAAAACACACATAATAAAATAACATATTTAAACCCATTAAAACCAACCAAAACCCCCACATCATTAAAACAATTTAAACCAAAGCTAAAATATTTTTTTTAAATAGCAATTAAAATATAGGGCAGGTAGGAGGGATCACTGAGGGAAGGGCAAACAAACTAACACCCTCATCCACTGGCAGGAGATAGCAATAAGACAGACACGTTGCCCTGGGGAGAGAGTTTCAGAAATGTGGTTCCACAACTGAGAAGGCCCTGTCCTGAGTTGCCACTCATCTATCTCAAAAGGCAGGGGCACCTGAATCGGGACTTTGGAAGATGAATTCAGTGGTAAGGAGGGTCTTAGCCTCTATGGCCTGTTTGTTGGGCCTCCAGGACAACTGGTTGGTAACTGTATGAAACAGGATGTTGGAGTAGATGGGCAATGGGTCCAATTCAGGAGTAATCTTTTTATAGTCAATCTAACTCAAAATCCATGTGCCTTATTAACAAAGAAGAAAGAGAGATAGAAAGGAGGCATTGAAAGTTGTGACAAAATGGGAGACACAAGACAAACTGAGGAAGAGTGGAATCCAGGGCAGATAATACATCTGGAACAATAAAGAAATTAATTTCACAAAATCTCCTCATCCCTAAATAGGATAGGAGTAATATAAATTACTGAATATATTTTCATTTATCTTCCATACCACTGGTATTTCAATAATGATGTCGAGGTTATCATCCAGAAGCCAATGTTTCATCTTTAGCAGCTGCCAGATCTTAAAATATGAATGTTGCCACTGCATCTTCCCTCCTAAACAACTTCATGATAACACAATAGAATTGGTCTTCAGACATGTCTAATTCAGGTGAAATGGGTATTAGATTCTGTGGCCATTTGTAGCTCTAACCTTGGCAAGGTTGAATTTTGTGGCTTAAAGCATATGCAATGTACAAATATTAAATACTGATATGTTTTAACAGAAAAATGAAGATATTTGGGGATGACTTGTTATGTGGCAGGATAAGTGGGGTGGGACTCTTGAGTTGTCTGAAAACGTTCCAAATGTAAATGACAAGGATGGGATCCCAACTGAAATGAACAGAAACAGGAATTACTTGGTATTTGCAATATGTACTCTTAACATCTGTTGGAAAGCAGAGAAATTCATGAGGGACTTAATATTCTAGGAAATGTGCTTGGCCAGTACAGTGAGGATTTTTTTATAGCTTGATATGAAAATGTGAAGATTTAACTGTACAGGTTATGCTGTGAATGCAAAACATGTGATAGTGCACTGATGGCACTCTGAATTTTGAGTATGACAGATGAGAAAGACGTCTTGAGAAGTCTTGTATTTTAATAGTGTTTGGGCTGAAGATGATAAATACAGTCTTCAGCTAACACTCCAATGTTCACAATTTATTACAAAGGCAGACAAAAGAAGTGTGTGAGAGAGACAAATGGCTAAGAATACCTTCCAGCATTAAAAGAATTCCAAAGAAAGAAAAATTATTCAATACGTGCAAGTACCTTTACAGGGTTTGCTCCTTCAAAATGACAAGAAAAATTATATATAATTTTTATACTTTCAAGATATGAATATGGACTGTAGAAATATTCAAGATGTGGGTAGTGGCCTGATATATAGATCCCCCCCCCAATAATCAAATTCATATTCAAATCATCACCAGAGTTATTCTGCTTACACTGTGCTGATGAGTAAGACATCATATAGCCCTGTGTCAGGATGCTACCAGCCCAAAATAACTGAATAATGACCCAAAGTCAAACATTTCAGAAGAGGAGTTTTATTTGTTTGTTTTTTGTTTTCTTCAATCTGTCAATGCAATGCAAAGCTGAAATGTCTGCAGTAATGAGTTCTTTTCTGAATTGGCTCTCAAATCAATTACTAGCCTCCCCATAAGTGAACAAGCCCCCACAGGGAGCCAGAGGGATATATATAAAAATATTAAATTTCTTCAAGTGTATCTATATATCTAAATCCCAACTGTGCCCCCTATGTGTGGATATTTAAATCTCCAGTTAGGGGGCACACTCACTTTAAACAGGCTTTTCTGCAAACTTGGGTGACCTCTTAGGTTTGCAGAAACATCTGGGGGGAAAACATTGGGGGGTTAAATTTCCCCTTTAAAAATCTGTGCATGTGCAGGCAATGTACTTACTGTCATGCAGCTGGAAAGCAGCCTGATACTTTCTGCATCTACAGAGTTGTTAAAGGATGAGACTGATATTTTGCTTTATGAACTTATATTTGCTGTTACACCCACACAATGGACTGTGCATACACACCCACATAGGCTCAGAAAGCTGTACATGTCACCTGTTGTGATACTACACGTAGAAGGTGCCTGCATAAGCCTTACATGTGAATGAGGTTTCAGTTACACAGCTGCCAGCCTAGTGAAAAAAGCACACATCTCCATATTGTCAGCAAAAGAACAACCTAAGAAGAAGCACCCCCATTGCTGAATTGCTGACTGTCACGTATGCTACATCTCTGCTTTATTTTACATTGGCATTTCCTGCCAGATGGACCTTTTATGACCAGAGGAATGGCCAGCTTCATCTGCACTTCAAGGAGGTTCCTTGACACCAAACTTTCACACTTGCCCAGATGCCATCCTTTGAGTTAGGTCTTAAGCAGGGCTCTAGTCGGGGGGGAGCTCTCAGGTACGGAGCTCCGGAAGAGAACCTCTAGGGGGCGGGGTGGTCACGTGGTGAAGCCCCGCCCCTTCTTTACCCCGCCCTCTGCTTCAATCCTCATTCCGTTTGGGAATGAGGATGAAGCAGGAGGGTAAGTAGCCGGGCCTTCTGACACACTTCCGGTGATGTCAGGGGGTGTGGCCTTCTGTCACTTCCGGTGATGTCAGGGGGCGTGGCATTTGCAAATAAGTTATGCTAATGAGTTATGCTAATGAGCTCTGGCAGCTCTTTTTCTACAACAAGACCCCTGGTCTTAAGTTACAATATTGCCCAACCCTCTAGGTTGCCACCCCTCACTACACGCAACCAATAGGAGTAGTCTTGGGACGGACTAACAGGTAGATGGGTCCACAGGTTGGCACAGTTGCCATCCAACCAAACAATCACCTATAAAAGGTAAGGACCAGTTTCCTGGCCCTTGCTAGCCACAATCCCCGCAACACCCCCTGTCTGCTTTAACTCCCCTTTTGTCCAGCTTACTATACCCAAACCCTTGTCTCTACTTGATCTCTTGAACTGCAGTCAAGAGACCCACACATGTTGGCTGGTTCTAGCTGTGTGTTAAACTTCCCTAGAATTGTATTTCTCCCCATCCATTCTTCATTGGAACGAACAAAGCTTCAGGACAGATAAGTATCACCCCTCATCACTGTACCTGCTAATGCAAATGTGCTTATGTTTAATACTATATTTCTAAGGAACTTGATTGAATGTGTGAGAGCATCAGTATTGTTTGTATGTGATTTATTTTCCTAAGTAAGAGACAGTTACTTTGAACGACAACAGCCTCGACTCCTTTTACTGGTAACCCTTGGTGGAACTGGACCTTGGTAGACACTGGCAAGAACCCATCTAAATTGCCAATTGCTGTAGATAAAGCAGTTCAGCTAACAGAGTGCTGGATCTGTCAGCAAGGGGTAGTGGAAGCCTCCACAGGTCCACTCAGAGCAGTTCCAGGTAAGCAGCCAAGAGTGGAGGGGAAAGAAACCTCGGCGACCCCACTTG